ACCCCGGGGTAACTTCAACTTCAGCATTGACCGTATCCCACCAGGTCTTAAGTTTTCAGCCTCGTTTCCGTATCCAGGGGCCATGGTAGCGTTCACTGTAATGGATGTGATAATGGAGGTGGACATCTCAGCACTTGCATTAGTAGACACAATCGCTGTTCCCTCAGGGCTGTAGGAAGCTGAATGGGATTGCAATGGGTACGGACTGTGATGTTGGAAATATGGTCGATAAATTGTGTCCACTAGATGATTTGCAAAAATCAAGTTATCCACGTATCCTAATTTCCTTACCTCTTCGACCCTCAGTGCTCAGTTCTCAAGTTCAAAAACAAAGATGAGGTGTACGGTGGCTTGCGGAACTTAGCGGATCTTCCGCGATTTGTGCTACGGCTTGAAGAGCTCGTGCATTTAAACCACAGTTCATTTTTCGACGGTTGTTTTGAAAGAATATAGGAGTGAAGATTTATGAGGGTGGTAACTTCACTGAGGAGCGGCACACGCGGTTTGTTCCTGGATCCCTTGGAGATATTTTTGTTTTTGCTCTCTTGATGATTACTCTACTCATGGAAATGCATGAGAAGTATAAGAAATTTCGAATAACTTTAGAAATCTATGCAAGAATTTATAGAGAGTTACAGAAACGACTCTCCTTATTAAGAGCGCTATGTCTTTCATGAAAGGTGTGGTTTTGCATGCTTAATTATTACAGTTTAGGCAACAAAATGGAATCTCCGCAGATGGAATTCAAATATGCCAAATATGTACAGTTAAAACTCCTCCATATCTGAGATATATCAAAATGTCGAAACTCCAAAGAATCAATCTTTAGTTACGAAGCTACCTTTTCGTCTAGTCGGATGATTCCTTTCCATATAGCAGTATTCATTTATTTACTTAGAAGCGTGGAAATGCGACAAACCGAGCAGTTTCCTACCAGGCCATCTTTCGACTGCAATTTTTGGGCTCTAAGTTAACATGCGTTTTGCAAAATCGAAAAATCTTAAGTTTTAACAGAATCATAAGCAAAGACATAGCATTGACATTTCATCAGATTCTCGTATGGGAGCCTGGCACTAGAACCTCTGATCCCAAAAGACATCTTATAAACAAACCTATAATTGCCAGAGAGCAACTCTGACAGTAGCGGTGAAAATTGCCTAGACTCATTTGACTGTGGTTCCTATCGTCCGAGACATTCATATTCGTGAAGAGCTTCCGCAGTGAAAGTTTCTTAGCCTGACATTCGTTGCCTCAGC